TTTCATTCACAAGTCTTCGAGCTACTTAGCCAACCTATTCTCCTTAGCCGTAATTCTATACTGGCATCGGCATGTATTTATAATAAGTCGTTCTTTATTAAAACAGTCATTCGCCATTCGCCTGTGGAATAAATGGAGTCTTTAAGATGGACTTCAATCCACAAAGTTATTGACCATCAACCATCTTTATATAGGTTAATCACTAATTATTGCGTGAATGCTTGTACATCTCAGGAGACTTATTTGTCCGGTTGTACGGTTAATGAAATATTCTTATATACAGTACAAGCCATTCTGTTCTGCCAAGGCTTAGGGGACGAGATTGGAATGCGTTATGATTTACGAATAAGACTATGGTCCGACCTTAATACGTCATGTCGTATCAATACAAACTTTGAGACAGCTCGTACACTACAAAACATAGGGTATACACCAGTAATGAACGCACTCACAATTTCTGTTACGTGGAAGCAACACAGCTTTGCTACAAAACGTTTTGATACATTCATTCTGCCCATATCACGATCATTGCAGAAGATACTATTTTTTTGGATCGATCGATTTCGGGTAGCATGCACTCAGTTACCATTAATCCTTAGGCTGGATTTCCACTTGCAGAAATATGGTTCGCTGGAGAAATATTTGCATATTTCTTTTAGATTTAGAACAGCCAAGTATTTCGCGAGCGATATGCAAGTGGAAATCCAGCTGTGCTTTACACGATTCTGTCGCGGATTTGAAAATTAGTCTTCGATTTTAACCAGTTATGCATTTCACAGTGCTACGGGCTAAATCACGCGTGTTTGCGCGTCTCAGTGAAAGTAATGGTCGGTACTTTCCTCACATGAAGGTTATTTACTCTTAGGTCCCCACAGACTGCCGGTGTAGGGATTTATAGTTGACTTGTCGACAACTATTTGTGATTGACAACTAAGAGTTATCGACAACTAAAAAGCGTAGTGTGTCGCGCAAGTTGTCGGCAACTAAAATTATTAGTCGTCGACGGCCTCATTTTTTGGCGTTTTTCTATTGTATGAAAACTTTTGTTTTAGTTGTTGACTACTTTTAATCTCCGCGCTATTTCGGTTGCTAAATCAGTATTTGAGCGCCAGTGTGTGGAATCCTTTATCGGACTTATTTAGTTGTCGATCACAAATAGTTATCGACAACAAAATCCCTAGTCAGTGGAGGCCCTTAGTCGCCTGCAAACCTGCCGCTATGCTGTTTGTCCGATCGACCAAAGATACATTAGGCATATATATTGGGTTCCAAGATGTTAATCATTAGATCATAATTATTTGTTTTCTAGCCATAGTGTAGTGTTCACAATTTTTGTTCATTCTGGACAACCATGCATGCAGTTAATGTTTCAATTAACCTCCATGCAACCACACCGCGGCACCTCCTTTATTATTTAACCTATTTTATGAATTCCATATCTTTCCCTCGACGTCAAGTCTGAAGATGCATCTGCTCAGTATTAAATATATGCCATAAACAAACATCTACAAATTAGAAGCTTAATCTATGCTTAATTGCGCGTGCATTAAACATACCATTGCGCATTTATCTCTGCGGGAAAGCGGGTGTGCATAGTGTGTCCTGTGGTTTGAAAACACACCCGCATATTATTACTAAATAACACCGTGGCATGAACAGTTTTAAAAAATGAAACATTTACAAGTTGGAGACATCATTTACGCCTTAATAGCGCTCGTATTCAGCATACGGTGCGTGACAGAAGGGTGCATCGGTGCACGCATGGGTGGCGCAATTTTCGGGCAATCGCGCAAGTTAGAGAAAGTGGTTTATTATGAAGCGATGAAGCGATGAAGCGATGCAGCGCTGGCTTGTCTGGCCTGTAAGTTAGCTAAGTTCAGGCCACTGTTATCAGATGTGGGACTACGTCATTACATGTAACGACATAATATGCATGACATTGATGACAATGCAACAAATAAATATCAACTCTATATGTGATTGCTCTATATCGTGACAAGGGATTAACCATCATCTGCTACACCACAGGACATGCATGGTAGGGACCGTAGAGTTCACATATTGAAACTTTAATGAGTCAATTGAATTGGGTAAATATGGCCAGAAGGGCACATTGATGGGAAACACTATATGACGTCCTTATCTGTTTAATCCAGCCCAAGAATAATTGTCTAGCAGGAAAAACTCAGCACATTCATGTGGAGATTTGGATGCGTTTTATCGATTGTCATTTTAACCCCTTCTGTCAACCCTGCTATTCAAAGCTAGGTGTATCCAACGTGAAAATCACAAGTGGCCTAATCTGAAACAAATGCGCTTAAACGATTTAATATAGCCTGTTTTAAACGTCGAACTTCTCATGTACCAATACTGTTATTGTGAAACTATGGAGATGAAAAACAGATTGAATTTTCCGCATATAACTTAAGCTAGTTCAACAGTTCTTTCTACCAATGATGAAGACGAGCTGAGATTGAACATGTTGCGGGACAGCGTTAACGAAGGACCGTTAAATTTATTTTAACTTTGCTACATGATATGTATACATATGATTTTATCAATGATGACCTAGCCTGTATTCCTAATATATATTAAATCTGAATAAAGTCTATTAAAAACTTGCACGAAAGTCATTAGCAAAAAAACATCGCTTCGCGCATTAAATTGAAGTGAAAAAAAAAATATTTGTGTATTATTCAAGTTGTCTAAATCCACTTATAACGTTAATCATACGTGCGTCTACGCACGAAATAGTTGAGATCCATGTAAATTTGGGCATTCACCGAGGTATTCAGCACTAATATAAAACTAAGAATGGGGCGTATACAAACACTTATTCGTTATTTCATCCGTGAATTAAAAAAAAAGAATCGCAAACGTGGGTTACACATTTCTAAACAATGGATTATATTATTCGTTCAAATTCTATTTTTGTTCCTGATTTGTCGAAACTTGTGGGATGAATCCCGATATTCTAGGTATTTTGGCTGCTGACGCCATCCGCGTGAGATAACCACATGATGCCATCCGCGTTACCAAAGTTCATTCACGCTTTGGTCACCAGTCTCCAGCGCGTCCAGCATTTTTTTTAAAAAGCGTGCGAAAATTTCTTATTTTCCAATTACAAATACTTAAGACAAAACGGCCTTCAGGCACTTAAAGGGTTATCTTTTTGCAAGTTTTTTTTGTATTTTCCTAGTTTTATCAGTTAAACGATATAAAGACGATTTTTCGCCACATATCTGATTTTCAGGCCCTCGAAAACATCAAAATGCATTGGCACTGTCGTCATGTTACGCGCACGAAATATTTTCTCTTTTCACCCAGTCCTATCCGCCACCATTTCCTACCCGTCAATTACGAAATCCGTAACATATCGATACAACCAGTGCATTCCGGTAACTATGATTCAAGACGCCGCCACTATCGTAGTCTCTCACTATCGTCGAATAAATTAATCATTGAATTTGCTTGTTATATGATATTGAGATTCACCAGCGCCTCGGTTTGTGAATGTGTATAAAGAATTTTTTCGCCGGGTTCAGCCAGCTTTCTTCATGCAGATTATAATTGCAGGGCTAAGTTCGCAATCCTGTCGAGACTACGAATTTGTTGCGTTCTCTGACTTAGGTTTTAATAATCTGATTACTGAATACATGAATCTAATTCTTCACATCTCTGAACTAGGGCCGCCTTTTCAGGAAAAATAAAGAGCTGCAATATAGGAAATGTCACTTTAAGAAAGGCATGCAAAGTTGATAGAGCATTTTTTCCTTAATCCTGTGCAAGCACATAAGTGTTTTAAAAAGAAGGATGGGGGGTCTTGGGTGTGGTCTGAATGGAGAACCCCCCAGAAGATTCTTTGCATTTTTCATTCTCAATTCCTGCACTTCTGGAGTATCTACAGCGAAGCCTGACAACAACCTAACGTTTAATTGTTGCTGTTTGTATAACTGTACATTAAATTTTCCTACTTTGAGTATGCATTTTGAGACGTCACCAAATATTTCGTGCACATTAATTGGATAATATTCGCTAAGACATGCCAACCTATAGTTGGGTCAATAGTTCAACCGTTCAATAAAAACTATTATTTAAAACAAAGCTTATAATGAATGGTGAAAAATTCATGGGTTATTTCATCCCATATAATTACTCCATCAAAAAAGTATATAAGTACTCTATCAACTGAGCAATTCATTGTAGAATTCATAAAATATTCCAGACACCCAGAAAGTCCTTTTGTTCTTCGAATAATTGCAGAATTACTTAGAAATACGATGAAGTTTGTTTGGTCACTAAAAAAACCCTCCTTAATTGTTTCAATAACAAATTAATGTTCGAGCATTAATAAAAAGAACAGTTTTACGTATTATATCGTTTTTTTAAATCAACTGCTGATTAAAATATAGTATGAATAAATTATTTTAGGCGATTCGCAATATTTTTCTCGAATATTCATCCGTTTGCCAACCGAAACAATTAATGCAAAAACTGTAGGTTCATGGCTTAGAAAAATACATTTTCTTTTAACGGGAAATTAAACCAAAATTGAATTAACCTGGAAGTTTTCTTTGCCAAACCCTTCCCGGACCACGTTTTATAAAGTAATAATTTTTTTTAATCTCTTCCAGAAGCCATGTTTGGACCAGGTTACATGTGCAACCTCTGAAGACAACACGAGAATGTCAAAAAGTAGGAAGTGTCAGTCAGATTCTGACTGCATCGAAAACGAATATTGTCATGAGTTTCATCGACTTTGTGTCAAACCCGTCGAAGTGGTTACACCGGTGAAGACCTCAGTAAAAAGATGCTCAAGAGATTCAGATTGCAGAATGGCAGAATATTGCCACGTATTCTGGAGAATATGTCTCCCAGTGCGACGAGTAAATTACAGGCAGCCACCGACTAAACGGCCATCCTGGTATTGTTACACGTCAAAAGATTGTAAAATGAACGAACAATGCCATAGACGTTTCCACACGTGTTACACAAGGCCAGGAATGGCGACCGTCCGAAGAGAAGCAGGGAATTCCCGAAGATGCGAAACGACAAGCGAGTGCGGAGCGAATTTTTATTGCCATGTTCACTTTCGTATTTGTCTTGAAAACACACCAACTGCAAATAAATCACCGTCGAAAACCAGGAAACAAAAACGATGTAGTTCGGAAACTCTTTGCCCAAAAGGCATGCTTTGCCATCATTTCTGGAGTATATGCTATATTCCCGCCCGGGTAATGACGTTGCCTAAGAAAAATAAAACGCAGCAATGTCAAATTGATAGTGATTGTGGACCAAACGAGTTTTGTCATGTCATGGTAACACCAGCAGGTCACGTGGTAGCAAGGCAAAGACGAAGTACGCAAAGGATATGTCTTCCTCGAAGATTTCAAAAGATAAAGAGGAATAACAAAGGCAGGGCGTGTAAGACTGCTGCTGATTGCGGTCCGAACAGATGCTGTTTGAAGAAATTAGGTGTCTGCATGGCATACAAACTGCCTGGGGAAATGTGTCTCATTGAAAAGGTGAGAAACTTTTCAATAGTCCAACTAAACACAGAAGAAAATATATTGTTGTATCTTTAATATTTGTCAAAATGATACAAATATGACTTGAGCATGCGAATAAAATAATTTGTTGATGAACTCATAACTAAAATCCAGGGGCCGCGGAAGTTCGTTAAGTTGGGGTGGGGGCTTATATTCATATATTCGTGTTAGCAGTTAGCATAAAAACAATCAATTTCAAAAGAGACTAATAATACTTAAACGTAAATATATATATATATTATTATAATATATATATATATATATATATATATATATATCCTCCCCTCTACTTAACGATTTTGCGCGGCCCCTGGTAAAATCCCGCATACACCAACACCGTAGTGGCGGATCCGCAGGGTTAGGCAACATAAATTGAAAGACTTATTAATAACAACGCAATTGGTCATGGATTTCTAAAGAATACTTTTAAATAAAAAATCTACCAATGCGATAACGATTTTGAGCTGTAGTAATTTATTTTGCCTAAAAGTTAATCCGCCAATGACCGATGGAAGAGATAGTTGGTTACATGTTGTTTTCTTTTTTGCACTCACAACGTTTTTATTCTAGGCTGATTTCGCGTGCCCTTGTGCTAGTGGATCTGTGTGCAAAACGAAGGGGAAATGGGCATCTCCTAGAAGGATTATCAACAAAATGAAACTGCCTCAAACAGCTGCTAATCATATCTTGATGGGAAAAAATAAAAGGAAACATCAAGTTGGAAAATGCACTCCGTCGTCTTTGTAAAATGTTTAGTTGCCTGCCACTGTAATTAACACATAAAGAACGCAGGTTAATGACACGCATGCGCGACGTTTTGAAAAAATCCAAACCAACTCGCTGCATGCAATGAATTGTCACAATGAACGATTTGCACATTTTTCAGCTTTACTTACGCACAAAAGGTCATTCATAAATGCCAAGTTTGCAATATATGTCACCGATAGTTAGTGACCACCGACAATAGTCATCTGACGTTGATCATGCGACATACGATAACTATCCTCAAAGACCTTTGTACTATAGCAAAATTTTCACTGCAACATGAATTTGTACTTATCCAACCAATTAAAATATAACCACTTTGCAACAGATCCCTGATGTGTATTTTTCGTACGAGAGAAATAATTATGTGGAATGTTCATTTTCAAAAAGCTCTTCAGCTGAAATTACAGTGAAGTAAAACGCTACGATTTTAGACACTGACTGTTCAATGACATTGTGACTCTGTGGTATAGATAGAGAAACAAGGATATGTATGTAAGCCGGCCACGAATCAAAATGGGCATTAATTGCAACGTTTTCTGGTAGGGACACGCCTTTAAACGTTGATTCTAATAACGAGCAAGTAATATCATTTTTGCAATACTAAATTTAAATCCAAGATACGCAAAGGAACCTATGAATTTCTCCTGATATATGCACCATGTATTAGGTTATTATAGTTTCCAATCGACGCGTGCAGCAACGGATATAATCGGTTTGGAATAAGATAAGCCTCTCAAAAGTGTCAACCTCTTTTGCTTTTGTATAATTCATATAATTCGTTGAAGAGCCTTATAACGTTGCATATCGGATGTGTTTTTGAAAAAAAATTCATTTCATTTCATTTAATCCTCGTCGCACTTCCTGCCGTGGACAAGGCCGGCACCAGACCTCACCATCGTGGTCTGTCCGCAGCACATCTCTCCGGAAAGTTCCAGGTCCACCCCTGTTGATTCACCACGGTCCGCCCCCAAGTTTCTTAGGATGCCTCTTTTCCTTTGGCCATTAGGGGCCCAGCGAAGAGCCTTCCTGACAGGGACGTTGAAGACATGCAGAGAACATGTCCCCCAAACCAACTCCATAGTCTTTGTCTAACATATCTAAGACTTACTAGTAATCAAGCTGCAAATATCATGAATTACATGAATTACAAGACAACGGCAAAGGAAGATGACATCAATGTTTTTCGATTGTATCTTATATCTTATATTGAATAATAATTTTACGTTACACATTTCGGTGCTGTAAGTCGCCTGTTGGCGTTTATGACCACTATTCTCGAATCGTTCCATCTGCCTAACATTTTGGATATGCACTGCAACAATTTCTTCAGTGAGTGTGAAAAGAGCTGTTCTTAATATTTCGTAAGGTAAGTTAGGTAACCGCTCCGTAACTCGTGAGGTAAGGGTAAACGGATAGTCTAAGGATAAAAACTTCAATTCAAACTTCAATTACTAAAGTTTAAGTCAGTTTAAATGAACGATACTGTCGAGTTTGTTTGAGCGTGAAGTATTCAATATTCATTGACCGAACTATTTCGATTGAACATCTCGGATAGGCAGCCTGGTGCCGATTTTTGTACTTATAACACTACGATTTGCATTGTCTGGTGAATCTTAGGAATGACGAGATGAAGATCACAAACAAACAATCAGTTTCAAAAAGTCTTGGGACAGGTAGACTAATAAACTGCCGTTCGCAGTAATTTGCTGCCCTATCGCCCCATAATCAATGTTGCGAACATCTAACACATGTGTTAGATGTTGCTCAACGCATCAACAACACGGAATGGGGGGAGGGGTCATGAAAAGCTGGTAATTTCGCGTTAGATAAAGTTTGCACCTATTTTTGCTCAAGTTCTTTTGAAACTGATTGTACTTGAAAGTAAAATGACAAAACCTATATCATGAAGACAATATGATTCGGAATGACAATATATGCCATATAAGATGAAGTACCCAACGTTATTGATAAATCTTGAAGAAATAGGAATCTTCATTTTGATCAAACTGGTGCAAGATAATAACTTTGCCTCATAGAACTCTCTGTCATAACTTATCTTTGATTTAATTATTTTAATTATTTGAAGCTATTTTATAGTACTACATTTTGCTCGGTCACCTACATCTACGTAGGTTAATGCATCTACGCCTTTTGGTAATATTGATTAGTAACGGTTTTCTCCTAACATGATCAAAACAAGAAATGCCATTTTCTGAATTTCTAACTTTGTTGGCAAGAAGAAAGAAAAGTGCTGTTTACCAGGAAAATATTTCACGTTAAAAAACTATTAGCCTATTATCGTGAAAGTATTTCATATTATACACAAAGGATACTGGACACATACCACTAGAAAGTTATGATTACAACTATTATTCACGACTAAATTGGCCAGTCCAACGATTAATATGGACATCTGGACTGGTCGCAGCTACTTTAGTTTATGTACCATTTTCTGTTTTACAATGTTCTCAGGAAGCATGTGGTCATTGGAATACTAAAGAATCTTATTTTTAGAAAGTAGTTACCACTATGACTACACAGAATAGTGCTTGTGTAAGCACTAGCAATGGTAGGTATATGTTGGTACCTGGTAGGTCTACTGAAATTTAAAGAGAACTGTTGAACTGGCGATGGTTCAGGCCTGGTTTTACCAAGACTCTGAGTTTTTAATAAGGGTTGGTAGGCCCCATCACATGCACAGAGCCAAATGCAGTTTGAAGAGTCAAAACTAAGATTAAAAATGGCTGTGTCATTCCCAAGGCTTTTTTGAATCCTCAGTGAGTAGGGAGTCATCAGGAAGAATACCAAAACCAAAGCATCCACTTAGGGCACTTAAATAACTCACCTTTTTTCACTTTTTACATTATGTAATTGTTCATTTTCATTTAGGTAATACTCTAACAACAACAGCTTCATCAACCCCCAGCAACCCGGTTCCAACCAGCATGCTTTCCTTCCGTTTTGCAACACCAAACAACACACAAACACCCTATTATATATCATCTGATATAGTTCTAAGGCAAGTAGTTGTTGCCCAACTTTTTTAGTGTTTGTGTTTGATAGGAAAAGTTTAGTATTTAAGGCCTATATTTTACAATGTAGATGTATGAGCCCAAAAATTTAGTGGAGAAACAAATCTACACTAATGAATTGTAAAAACTGAAAAAAAAAATTAAAAAGTAATTCTTTAGAAACCTAATTTCTGTATTTTACAGCAAAAACTTCTTGATTAGGCAAACTGATGTAAGCACAGTGTTTGTTTAATTCCTCAGTCCCAGTCCAATCTCAGGGACTTTTTGAAATTTGATTCCTTTGGAACCTTGGAAATGAGTCTTTCATAAAAAAAATATCTCAGATACACGTATTACTATAAACTATATAAAATTTTAAATATTCTAAAATAAATGCAGAATTTCTAAGCAATTTATCTGTGTATTTAGGGGTACTAAAATAGGAACTGTAATATGACTCAAAAGGCCAGTTTGAACATAGACAATCCAGAAGATTGGCTTCTGGATTGTCTATGGTTAGAGGCAGTTGGCTTGATTGCCTAATTTGATTTTTGCCTTGCTTTTCAGTGGTGGTATCGCACAGCAGAACAGAAGGAGAATTGTTCACAATGAAGGTACATATTTTATTCATGTATACTGTTTTTTGTACTGGTACTAATTTCACTTGCTTCAATTGTTTCACAATCTTTTCATTCCAAAGATGATGCATTTTGAATATTTATTTAGGTACACACAAGCTTTGTGTCTTGTTTAGTGTATGCATCTGAATAATAATTGTCTAAATTTTTTTAGTTGAAAAACGGAGGAAAGATAAAATCACTAATTGGATAAAGAAACTTGCAGACCTTTTGCCAAGACATCGTGTTACTAAACAGGTAAATTTACAATGAAAAAACCTCCTCAGGTGGACAAAGAGTTGCCTTCAATACATCTCCACAATAAAGCTTGAGGTTTAGGCAAAAATTAGTTTTTGGACTTTTGGAAATTGAAAAAAAGCTGTCAATGCCTGTCTGCAATTGCAATTTTTGCCATGATTTCAGGTGCATTTTTCTTTCTTTGATGGATGAGAATAAGTGGATAAAGGCATGTGGACATCGCAGCATTCCTATCTGTCCACTTGTGCACATCCATTAAAGGAAGAAAGTTGCAAAATTGTATACGGATAATTTTCAGATTATCAAAATGAGTTCTATAACAGGCAATAGCGTAGAGGCTACACTTGACATGCGAGCAAACTGAGAACGAACCTCTATCTTTCCCTATAATAAATATGCCTCACTTCTAAAACTAACACTTTAAAACTCGTTTATATATACACCAAAAGGTAAAAAAGTGTTCGCTGTTTGTTTAGGAAAGGCTGTATCTCGGACGATTCGTACATTGACGATGATTCACATTACTTTAGTATTGAACAATACGCCATTTCGACCAAACCTGAGAATGTGCTCTTGAACATGTACTTATGCGACAAATTATACGGGAAATTTGACATGCGAAATTTGTTGGAGAAATCGGGACAGTTTAGATAAAACCGCGGTTAATAGAACTATGATAAAACTAAGCAGAGAAATCCTGCTTTTTTTAATTTTCCTTTTTCTTGTTGAAGTTTGGAAGTCAGTAAACTGATTACGTTTTGAAGTAGTCATAATCCGGTGAATTACTTTGGAATAGTCTCAATGAGAAAACATCGTCCTAAACACTGTTTTATAGAGATTCAAGTTTTAAGATTTTTTCCGCGCTTGTTCTTTCGAAAAATCTATTGCCTTCACCCAAGCTTGTAAGAGATCCTGCTTACAGCCGGTTAAATATTATCCCGTACGTAGATGTTTCCGCCGAATGTATTAAGTTATTTAGTACATTGATATGATGTATGTTTTTAGAGCAAGAATTATGTGTTAGAGACAGCTTGTGAATATATTAAAGAACTTAATGGCATTAGCACAGAATTCAGTGAGCTGAAGCTAAGCAAGCAATTACTGGGTATGTTGACAGTATTTTTCATTTTTGTATTCCGAAGTTTCGTGTGTTTACTTTACAGTGACATTACGATTTTATGTTATACACAATTGGTTCAATGGTACATCGTTTTGGGGAAACGTGGTATAAAGCGACACGACTTTCCAAAGCACGTTTTTGCTCCAGAGTCCAGACACCACCATTTGTAGTTCATTGGTTAAATATTAGCAGTGGTACATGTACTTACCTTCAACTCATCCTTTAACCCGTGCTTGGTACTCTGTGCCTGAACTGTTCTGTGCAGGAATCATCCTTTATCGTCGAGATTTAGTAATATGACTTCCGCGTCTTCGTAAAAGCCTATTATATTTTTCCATGACCTGTCATCCTAGACATATTCTTGCTTCATTCGGCTGAAATATGTACAATAGACCTGTACGTACAGTAGCTGCACATGCGTGAAAGTAATCGACGATCCATTGCCTGATATCGTAAAAGAAAATTATGGAAAGGCACTTGAAACCTATATGATGCACTTTTGATGAAATTAATCAGGCATTTTCGATATCTTCAGGAGTAATACGGATATCTTTTGTTTCGGTTTCTCTCATTAACCAGTTTTTTCTTCGAACACTGGGGAAAACCTTTTACCCTTTTACTTAACGGTTTTTTTTATATAGCTACTGTACAAACATATGTCAAACTTTTGCGCTGCATGTCGCGTGCATTGTTCTCTTTCTTTTCAATTCTAACTGATCGTTAGAGTAGTTTTTAGCTACTTTATAACAGTTACTTGTGCTCGTTGCTCGTACAGCGCCTGTGATAAATGTCTTTCGTTGACTATGATCAAACTTAGAGTGATGATTTGAACGGTTTAAGAGATATTTTGGTAATAGATTTACCGCGATAGCTTTTTCCACCCGAGGTATAGTTAATTATTTAGCGTGATTTATACGAATCGCCATTGAAATCCAAATTTATACTGTTGTATCTGGTTGATTTTCACTACTTTCATATATTACTGTAGGTGTGGTATAGCTACTGTAGAACATAATTTTTATGGCCCTTCTATATTGCCCTTATGCGTGTGATTATTTTACAGTTCATGATATATTGTACTCATGCACTGTCAAGATTACTGGTATTTGAAGAATATGTAATTTTCTTCACCAAACCAGTTAATACGCGAGTTTTCCATGGCGACGTTTATCTCAGAAAGTAAAGATAATACTGTATTAATTAATAAATACTGTACATATGATATTATATAAGCTTGCATTTTAGCAAACATTAACAGCCCAATGAGAATATACTTAGCTTCCGGGCTGTCACTGGACAATGCTCTACAAAAATAACAGTTAAGCACGCTAAGAAATACTTTAATTTGATTACCACAAAGCCGCATATTATAATCACATAATCTTTTATGTAATTCACAATCCATTAAGATTATGGATATTTGTTATCAAATGGCGGACACTGAAGAAACATCGAAGGTGGTCAAGGCTTGAAGATCATCATATTCTCTCTGAAGTCTGTATTAAACGACTAAGATTGAACGGAACCAGCAAAAAAAATCTAAATTCGTTCTTATCAGTGATGACGTACATCAACAGAACTGATGGCCATTTGGAAAATGTGAAAATCAAGAAGAGAGCGACTGGGTTGCAAATATTTTTGAGGAAGGCGATTGGGAAGACGCAATACTTCCTGGAAGACTGTCTTTCGCAGTTTAGCGACGTTAAGTCAAGCTGTGATGATTTGTCGTACACCATGCACGGTGTTGTAAAGAACGATGTAAATTATATGATCGTTGAAAATGCATCTTGTTCAAATGGAGTGAACGAAAATCAAAAAGGCTACTTCCGTTCAAGAGCATAATTCTTGCGAAACCAACTGTTGCTAAGCATTTCAACACAGGTAGTCTAATCATCTAGATTAGCGAGATAGTTGCAGTAGTAGTAGTAGCCCGTTGCATCGTTTCTATCCCAGTATGTATAGCTGCGAGAAAGACATGACATATTAAATTTGTAGTGATTTTGCCGTAAAAAACTAGGCATGCTAACTTTTGCGTGACGTCTGTCTTGGAAAAAAGGATTACTAATGTAGATTTATCTTTCTAGAACAAGAAGTATCAGAGCTGAAAAACAAGGTGAACAAACTCGAGGAGGAGAACAAACGTTTATCACAACTCATTCATGATAACAAAGTAACATTACCAAGTACATGGAGTGATGCATCCGTAATTACGACAACGATGAGAGCAACATCTTCATCAAGAAACTCCAATACCCAAACGTGTTCTTCTGCATGCACGCAAGCGACAGATTCAACACCGCAGGCGCGAACCTTGGTACCAGGTGCTCCTGATTTAACACCGATATCGAATAATTCAAGTATAACTAATCGGCTTTCAGTCACATCCATATTATCGAGCGCGAACAATCAGCAGACTGCGTCAAACTCTAGAAGTAAAACTTACGACAGGCTCGCAACAGCCGGTTCGATGAATAAGAATATGGTTGTTTCGACTCAGTCATCGAACACACCAAGAGGCGGCATGTGCGTACCAACGACTAGAACACCCAATGCCCACAGAAGGCATAACCTAACCGAAACAGTACTTGGTAGTGGGTTACCACAAACTTCGAGATCATCACATATGTCCACTTCAGCAAGTGACATAACTAAGTGACCCTCGCAAGCCGGGAACCTTCTGTGAACGCCCCTGTCCAACCAAGTTTTGCACCGCTAACTCAAACCACCATGGTTTCAAGTGTCGCCAATGCGAACACCATTGCCCAGTTTTCGCAGCAATCTACTCTAGCTCCTACTTCATTTGAAAGAGGATTTACGCAGCAAGTACGACCGAACCAAGTACAAGACAATATTTCGCAATTACCATACAGTATTGATGCCTTGACGGGTAACCAGACGTCGCATACACGGCACCAGGGTTCTGGAACAGGGCATCTTACAAGCTTTTCTGCAGAGTCGCTAATTGGACGTCAACAACCGAGTAATGATATCGTTGTGATGAACACTCCAGTCAATCAACCAGTTATCCAAAATACTTTCACATTAACACACCCGACAACTCTAACAAACTCCAGTGTTCCATCGAGCAGCGCGCCACCACAAAGCTTTTCGAATTTCTCAGCTCTTTCCTTAGTCGGAAGCAATGATGCGTTTTCCGTGAGCTCAAGTTCTGCCACCCAGACATTACCACGTTCTACAACCACCGTGCACGACACGGCTAATATATCCCAATCAAGCAATCAGATGTTTACCGACTTTTCAACCGAATCGTTGATAGGGCCTAGCGAATTCACTTCAGACTTTGCTATCGATAATCTTATATCGCGGTCAGACTCCAACGTTCACATGGCTACGGTCAACCCAAATCTGATTCAATCATTTGGTAAAGGAAACGACCCAATGATTTCGAGTGTGAGTGGTGATCATGTCAACCACTCGTCGCACAATTTTGATCCTCCTGGTCTCAATATCGGAGGAGTGTTTTCTCCCCATCTGTATCCAACATACTGGAGTTAGCATGGTGGAGAATTTCTTGTTCTTCCAGTCTCGCAGACTCGCAGTATACAGGGGAAAGTTCACACCGCGGTTTTCTCTTATTATACTACAGTACTGAGACATATGTGTATCGAAGACGAAGTGTTTCAAAGGAGGAAAAGCTTGAAGTATTTCGCCACCAGTTGATAGACCAGTTATATCAACATTGCTCCTGATGTGGCGTTATTTAATGCGAATGGCGATTGGGAACTTTTCACCATGCGGTGTATCCAATTGTTTATGATTAGCGTACTGTAGTAGGCCTTATTGGTACTACTATTATTAATAATTTGACAATTTCTATGGCGCTTTCTGTATGAAATGATCGAAAGCGCAAGCGGTACTATGCTGCTCAAGCGAAAACATTGGATTTAAATACTAGCCAATTAGTTAAAAGAAAAATTTTGGCGAAATTGTTATCTCTCTCTCTCTCTCTCTCTACATAATGGTTTTGTGCAGCCTGCCATATTTTGGGGGTGTTATTCCTCGATCTTCACTGCGAATGGGTGGAAACGACAGATACTACATCTGGTCATAAACCTGCAATTGGACTTTAATATCTCACTAATGCGAGTTCTCTGCTACTAGATTATTGATGAGGTTTCGAATCACCTGAAATAGGAAACACGTAAATCGCACCATTGTGTAAAGAAGAATTGCACTCTGACGTGGAGCGGACACCGCAATACCTGATGCGGTTGCAAGACTCAATGGAACACCTCTGGTCCAAAATGACTGAATCTGTAAGGAATAAAATACAACCGTTTTTGATCACCGAAATAAAGTGTTATATACAATCTCGTATATTTAAATGCTCTCATAATTATGGAATGGAAGATAAGGTTATCCCTATAGTCCGGTTGTATAGAATATTATTATAGTTTCAAAACTGCAGTTTTTGCAAAGTATTAACCTTAAGCAATATAAAAGAAACACAGAGATCAGGGACTTGTACAATCCAATAGAAATTCATTTAATATCCCTAAATATAGCTATTGCATATTTGCTCGTTATATATAATTTTTTATCACACATCGCTGGATTTTATTAGATATTTATGCAAATGATTAAAAATAATATTTATAAGAATGTAAAATATAATAAAATGGAGAATTTAGTTGTACCCTGAACACTAATGGTTTATATCTTCTTACATTAATGTCCGGCAGGAGTCAATTTGTGTAGAGTGATAATTAGTTTGTGGTACAATTGTAAAATGTTACAACTTATATACGTTTATACGCTTCGTGAGCCGTCTTGAGAAAATACTTTAAATAATTTTGCAGTTTAAAAGGAGTGTGGGGCAGGACCAGAAATGATGCTACAATTACTTATTACGAACTTATTCGTTCGCTTTACACACATATATGGGGTATATCATGAATTTTCGCTTTCTTTTCGATCACAAAACATCGAATGTTTTATGTTCATATTATATATGATGTTGTGTTTTTACTCCATAGATTTCATTGTAATAAGTCGTTTCACGCATGCGTGTTTGCGTTCAGCTAAGTGCTAAGTCATTCAAAGTTAAAACAATAACAAGTAATTTTCTGCTACACTATTCAAATTCTAACAATAGATGAATTTAAAATAGTGTCCGCGTGTTTTGAGACATGCTACCTTTAGTTAGCTAATACTGGGGAGTTTAAGATTCACGACGCGGCCAGCTCGACGTCGCGCTTGCAAAACAAAGAAATACCACACGCGAGACAATCCTTAGTTCTCCATGACGGCAAACAAAAATGTCGTAACGAGCGGGTCAGGTAGCGTGTGAAGGAACTTTAATTACTCCACGGTTGTCTCGTTTTTTTTACTCCATTCTTTTTTTTGTGAAAATATTGTATTGCAGTACAATTACTTTAATAACATTTCCTGCTTGCAACCAATCAGCATTCAGTAATTTATCATGCAATAATACATGGAAAAACATGTTATTACATGCAGCTAGGTGATAAATAACTTGTCGGTAATAATTATTACACGAATATGTAGTTGGGTGTATATATTTAATATATATATTATATATATATTATATATATATATATATATAATATATATATATATACACCCATTTGCAAAAACGTTGGCCGCAGATAGATAGATAGATAGATACTCGAAGTCTAATTAGAATTGCATATTAATACATTTGCATGGGATTTCAATCATATTACACAACATATGCAATTCTAATTAGATTTCGGGTATCTATCTATATATCTATCTGCGGCCAACGTTTTTGCAAACGGGTGTATATATATATATATATATATATATATATATATTATATATATATATATATATATATATACATATATTACACCCAACTACATATTCGTGTAATAATATATTACCGACAAGTTATTTATCACCTAGCTGCATGTAATAACATGTTTTTCCATGTATTATTAGCATGATAAAATTACTGAATGCTGATTGGTTGCAAGCAGGAAATGTTATTAAAGTAATTGTACTGCAATACAATAATTTTCACAAAAAAAAGAAATGGAGTAAAAAAAACGAGACAACCGTGGAGTAATTAAAGTTCCTTCACACGCTACCTGACCCGCTCGTTACGACATTTTTGTTTGCCGTCATGGAGCAACTAAGGATTGTCTCGCGTGTGGTATTTCTTTGTTTTGCAAGCGCGACGTCGAGCTGGCCGCGTCGTGAATCTTAAACTCCCCAGTATTAGCTAACTAAAGGTAGCATGTCTCAAAACACGCGGACACTATTTTAAATTCATCTATTGTTAGAATTTGAATAGTGTAGCAGAAAATTACTTGTTATTGTTTTAACTTTGAATGACTTAGCACTTAGCTGAACGCAAACACGCATGCGTGAAACGACTTATTACAATGAAATCTATGGAGTAAAAACACAACATCATATATAATATGAACATAAAACATTCGATGTTTTGTGATCGAAAAGAAAGCGAAAATTCATGATATACCCCATATATGTGTGTAAAGCGAACGAATAAGTTCGTAATAAGTAATTGTAGCATCATTTCTGGTCCTGCCCCCACACTCTTTTAAACTGCAAAATTATTTAAAGTATTTTCTCAAGACGGCTCACGAAGCGTATAAACGTATATAAGTTGTAACATTTTACAATTGTACCACAAACTAATTATCACTCTACACAAATTGACTCCTGCCGGACATTAATGTAAGAAGATATAAACCATTAGTGTTCAGCGTACAACTAAATTCTGCATTTTATCATATTTTACATTCTTATAAATATTATTTTTAATCATTTGCATAAATATCTAATAAAATCCAGGCGATGTGTGATAAAAAATTATATATAACGAGCAAATATGCAATAGCTATATTTAGGGATATTAAATGAATTTCTATTGGATTGTACAAGTCCCTGATCTCTGTGTTTCTTTTATATTGCTTAAGGTTAATACTTTGCAAAAACTGCAGTTTTGAAACTATAATATATATTCTATACAACCGGTCTATAGGGATAACCTTATCTTCCATTCCATAATTATGAGGAGCATTTAAATATACGAGATTGTATATAACACTTTATTTCGGTGATCAAAAAACGGTTGTATTTTATTCCTTTACAGAGATTCAGTCAATTTGGACGAGAGGTGGTTCCATTGAGTCTTGCAACCGCATCAGGTATTGCGGTGTCCGCTCCACGTCAGAGTGCCAATTCTTCTTTACACAATGGTGCGATTTACGTGTTTCCTATTTCAGGTGATTCGAAACCTCATCAATAATCTAGTAGCAGAGAACTCGCATTAGTGAGATATTAAAGTCCAATTGCAGGTTTATATGACCAGATGTAGTATCTGTCGTTTCCACCCATTCGCAGTGAAGATCGAGGAATAACACCCCCAAAATATGGCAGGCTGCACAAAACCATTATGTAGAGAGAGAGAGAGAGAGAGAGATAACAATTTCGCCAAAATTTTTCTTTTAACTAATTGGCTAGTATTTAAATCCAATGTTTTCGCCTTGAGCAGCATAGTACCGCTTGCGCTTTCGATCATTTCATACAGAAAGCGCCATAGAAATTGTCAAATTATTAATAGTAGTAGTACCAATAAGGCCTACTACAGTACGCTAATCATAAACAATTGGATACACCGCATGGTGAAAAGTTCCCAATCGCCATTCGCATTAAATAACGCCACAAATCAGGAGCAATGTTGATATAACTGGTCTATCAACTGGTGGCGAAATACTTCAAGCTTTTCCTCCCTTTGAAACACTTTGTCTTCGATACACATATGTCTCAGTACTGTAGTATAATAAGAGAAAACCGCGGTGTGAACTTTCCCCTGGTATACTGCGAGTCTGCGAGACTGGAAGAACAAGAAATTCTCCACCATGCTAACTCCAGTATGTTGGATACAGATGGGGAGAAAACACTCCTCCGATATTGAGACCAGGAGGATCAAAATTGTGCGACGAGTGGTTGACATGATCACCACTCACACTCGAAATCATTGGGTCGTTTCCTTTACCAAATGATTGAATCAGATTTGGGTTGACCGTAGCCATGTGAACGTTGGAGTCTGACCGCGATATAAGATTATCGATAGCAAAGTCTGAAGTGAATTCGCTAGGCCCTATCAACGATTCGGTTGAAAAGTCGGTAAACATCTGATTGCTTGATTGGGATATATTAGCCGTGTCGTGCACGGTGGTTGTAGAACGTGGTAATGTCTGGGTGGCAGAACTTGAGCTCACGGAAAACGCATCATTGCTTCCGACTAAGGAAAGAGCTGAGAAATTCGAAAAGCTTTGTGGTGGCGCGCTGCTCGATGGAACACTGGAGTTTGTTAGAGTTGTCGGGTGTGTTAATGTGAAAGTATTTTGGATAACTGGTTGATTGACTGGAGTGTTCATCACAACGATATCATTACTCGGTTGTTGACGTCCAATTAGCGACTCTGCAGAAAAGCTTGTAAGATGCCCTGTTCCAGAACCCTGGTGCCGTGTATGCGACGTCTGGTTACCCGTCAAGGCATCAATACTGTATGGTAATTGCGAAATATTGTCTTGTACTTGGTTCGGTCGTACTTGCTGCGTAAATCCTCTTTCAAATGAAGTAGGAGCTAGAGTAGATTGCTGCGAAAACTGGGCAATGGTGTTCGCATTGGCGACACTTGAAACAATGGTGGTTTGAGTTAGCGGTGCAAAACTTGGTTGGACAGGGGCGTTCACAGAAGGTTCCCGGCTTGCGAGGGTCACCTTAGTTAGGTCATTTGCTGAAGTGGACATATGTGATGATCTCGAAGTTTGTGGTAACCCACTACCAAGTACTGTTTCGGTTAGGTTATGCCTTCTGTGGGCATTGGGTGTTCTAGTCGCTGGTACGCACATGCTTCCTCTTGGTGTGTTCGATGACTGAGTCGAAACAACCATATTCTTATTCATCGAACCGGCTGTCGCGAGCCTGTCGTAAGTTTTACTTCTAGAGTTTGACGCAGTCTGCTGATTGTTCGCACTCGATAATATGGATGTGACTGAAAGCCGATTAGTTATACTTGAATTATTCGATATCGGTGTTAAATCAGGAGCTCCTGGTACTACCAACGTTCGCGCCTGCGGTGTTGAATCTGTCGCTTGCGTGCATGCAGAAGAACACGTTTGGGTATTGGAGTTTCTTGATGAAGATGTTGCTCTCATCGTTGTCGTAATTACGGATGCATCACTCCATGTACTTGGTAATGTTACTTTGTTATCATGAATGAGTTGTGATAAACGTTTGTTCTCCTCCTCGAGTTTGTTCACCTTGTTTTTCAGCTCTGATACTTCTTGTTCTAGAAAGATAAATCTGCATTAGTAATCCGTTTTTTCCAAGACAGACGTCACGCAAAAGTTAGCATGCCAAGTTTTTTACGGCAAAATCACCACAAAGTTAATATGTCATGTCTTTCTCGCAGCTATACATACTGGGATAGAAACGATGCAACGGGCTACTACTACTACTGCAACTATCTCGCTAATCTAGATGATTAGACTACCTGTGTTGAAATGCTTAGCAACAGTTGGTTTCGCAAGAATTATGCTCTTGAACGGAAGTAGCCTTTTTGATTTTCGTTCACTCCATTTGAACAAGATGCATTTTCAACGATCATATAATTTACATCGTTCTTTACAACACCGTGCATGGTGTACGACAAATCATCACAGCTTGACTTAACGTCGCTAAACTGCGAAATACAGTCTTCCAGGAAGTATTGCGTCTTCCCAATCGCCTTCCTCAAAAATATTTGCAACCCAGTTGCTCTCTTCTTGATTTTCACATTTTCCAAATGGCCATCAGTTCTGTTGTACGTCATCACTGATAAGAACGAATTTAGAATTTTTTTGTTGGTTCCGTTCAATCTTAGTCGTTTAATACAGACTTCTGAGAGAATATGATGATCTTCAAGCCTTGACCATCTTCGATGTTTCTTCAGTGTCCGCCATTTGATAACAAATATCCATAATCTTAATGGATTGTGTTAATTACATAAAAGATTATGTAATTATAATATGCGGCTTTGTGGCAATAAAATTAAAGCATTTCTTAGCGTGCTTAACTGTTTATTATCTTAATTGTAGAGCATTGTCCAGTGACAGCCCAGAAGCTAAGTATATTCTCATTGGGCTGTTGTTAATGTTTGCTAAAATGCAAGCTTATATATCATATGTACAGTATTTATTAATTAATACAGTATTATCTTTACTTTCTCAGATTAACGTCGCCGTGGAAAACTCGCGTATTAACTGGTTTAGTGAAGAAAATTACATATTCTTCAAATACCAGTAATCTTGACAGTGCATGAGTACAATATATCATGAACTGTAAAATAATCACACGCATAAGGGAAATATAGAAGGGCCATAAAAATTATGTTCTACAGTAGCTATACCACACCTACAGTAATATATCAAAGTAGTGAAAATCAACCAGATACAACAGTATAAATTTGGATTTCAAGGGCGATTCGTATAAAACACAATAATAATTAACTATACCTCGGGTGGGAAAAGCTATCGCGGTAAATCTATTACCAAAATATCTCTTAAACCGTTCAAATCATCACTCTAAGATTGATCATAGTCAACGAAAGAAATTTATCACAGGCGCTGTACGAGCAACGAGCACAAGTAACTGTTATAAAGTAGCTAAAAACTACTCTAACGATCAGTTAGAATTGAAAAGAAAGAGAACAATGCACGCGACATGCAGCGCAGAAGTTTGACATATGTTTGTACAGTAGCTATATGAAAAAAAACGCGTTAAGTAAAAGGGTAAAAAGGTTTTCCCCAGTGTTCGAAGAAAAAACTGGTTAATGTGAGAAACCGAAACAAAAGATGACCGTATTACTCCTGAAGATATCGAAAATGCCTGATTAATTTCATCAAAAGTGCATCATATAGGTTTCAAGTGCCTTTCCATAATTTTCTTTTACGATATCAGGCAGTGGATCGTCGATTACTTTCACGCATGTGCAGCTACTGTACGTACAGGTCTATTGTACATATTTCAGCCGAATGAAGCAAGAATATTTCTTGAATCAACATGTCGTTCAGGTCTAGAATGACAGGTCATGGAAAAATATAATAGGCTTTTACGAAGACGCAGAAGTCATATTACTAAATCTCGACGATAAAGGATGATTCCTGCACAGAACAGTTCAGGCACAGAGTACCAAGCACGGGTTAAAGGATGAGTTGAAGGTAAATACATGTACCACTGCTAATATTTAACCAATGAACTACAAATGGTGGTGTCTGGACTCTGGAGCAAAAACGTGCTATGGAAAGTCGTGTCGCTTTATACCACGTTTCCCAAAAACGATGTACCATTGAACCAATTATGTATAACATAAAATCGTAATGTCACTGTAAAGTAAACACACGAAACTTCGGAATACAGAAATGATAAATACTGTCAACATACCCAGTAATTGCTTGCTTAGCTTCAGCTCACTGAATTCTGTGCTAATGCCATTAAGTTCTTTAATATATTCACAAGCTGTCTCTAACACATAATTCTTGCTCTAAAAACATACATCATATCAATGTACTAAATAACTTAATACATTCGGCGGAAACATCTACGTACGGGATAATATTTAACCGGCTGTAAGCAGGATCTCTTACAAGCTTGGGCGAAGGCAATAGATTTTTTATCGAAAGAACAAACGCGGAAAAAATCTTAAAACTTGAATCTCTATAAAACAGTGTTTAGGACGATGTTTTCTTATTGAGACTATTCCAAAGTAATTCACCGGATTATGACTACTTCAAAACGTAATCAGTTTACTGACTTCCAAACTTCAACAAGAAAAAGGAAAATTAAAAAAAGCAGGATTTCTCTGCTTAGTTTTATCATAGTTCTATTAACCGCGGTTTTATCTAAACTGTCCCGATTTCTCCAACAAATTTCGCATGTCAAATTTCCCGTATAATTTGTCGCATAAGTACATGTTCAAGAGCACATTCTCAGGTTTGGTCGAAATGGCGTATTGTTCAATACTAAAGTAATGTGAATCATCGTCAATGTACGAATCGTCCGAGATACAGCCTTTCCTAAACAAACAGCGAACACTTTTTTACCTTTTGGTGTATATATAAACGAGTTTTAAAGTGTTAGTTTTAGAAGTGAGGCATATTTATTATAGGGAAAGATAGAGGTTCGTTCTCAGTTTGCTCGCATGTCAAGTGTAGCCTCTACGCTATTGCCTGTTATAGAACTCATTTTGATAATCTGAAAAATTATCCGTATACAATTTTGCAACTTTCTTCCTTTAATGGATGTGCACAAGTGGACAGATAGGAATGCTGCGATGTCCACATGCCTTTATCCACTTATTCTCATCCATCAAAGAAAGAAAAATGCACCTGAAATCATGGCAAAAATTGCAATTGCAGACAGGCATTGACAGCTTTTTTTCAATTTCCAAAAGTCCAAAAACTAATTTTTGCCTAAACCTCAAGCTTTATTGTGGAGATGTATTGAAGGCAACTCTTTGTCCACCTGAGGAGGTTTTTTCATTGTAAATTTACCTGTTTAGTAACACGATGTCTTGGCAAAAGGTCTGCAAGTTTCTTTATCCAATTAGTGATTTTATCTTTCCTCCGTTTTTCAACTAAAAAAATTTAGACAATTATTATTCAGATGCATACACCAAACAAGACACAAAGCTTGTGTGTACCTAAATAAATATTCAAAATGCATCATCTTTGGAATAAAAAGATTGTGAAACAATTGAAGCAAGTGAAATTAGTACCAGTACAAAAACAGTATACATGTATAAAATATGTACCTTCATTGTGAACAATTCTCCTTCTGTTCTGCTGTGCGATACCACCACTGAAAAGCAAGGCAAAAATCAAATTAGGCAATCAAGCCAACTGCCTCTAACCATAGACAATCCAGAAGCCAATCTTCTGGATTGTCTATGTTCAAACTGGCCTTTTGAGTCATATTACAGTTCCTATTTTAGTACCCCTAAATACACAGATAAATTGCTTAGAAATTCTGCATTTATTTTAGAATATTTAAAATTTTATATAGTTTATAGTAATACGTGTATCTGAGATATTTTTTTTATGAAAGACTCATTTCCAAGGTTCCAAAGGAATCAAATTTCAAAAAGTCCCTGAGATTGGACTGGGACTGAGGAATTAAACAAACACTGTGCTTACATCAGTTTGCCTAATCAAGAAGTTTTTGCTGTAAAATACAGAAATTAGGTTTCTAAAGAATTACTTTTTAATTTTTTTTTTTCAGTTTTTACAATTCATTAGTGTAGATTTGTTTCTCCACTAAATTTTTGGGCTCATACATCTACATTGTAAAATATAGGCCTTAAATACTAAACTTTTCCTATCAAACACAAACACTAAAAAAGTTGGGCAACAACTACTTGCCTTAGAACTATATCAGATGATATATAATAGGGTGTTTGTGTGTTGTTTGGTGTTGCAAAACGGAAGGAAAGCATGCTGGTTGGAACCGGGTTGCTGGGGGTTGATGAAGCTGTTGTTGTTAGAGTATTACCTAAATGAAAATGAACAATTACATAATGTAAAAAGTGAAAAAAGGTGAGTTATTTAAGTGCCCTAAGTGGATGCTTTGGTTTTGGTATTCTTCCTGATGACTCCCTACTCACTGAGGATTCAAAAAAGCCTTGGGAATGACACAGCCATTTTTAATCTTAGTTTTGACTCTTCAAACTGCATTTGGCTCTGTGCATGTGATGGGGCCTACCAACCCTTATTAAAAACTCAGAGTCTTGGTAAAACCAGGCCTGAACCATCGCCAGTTCAACAGTTCTCTTTAAATTTCAGTAGACCTACCAGGTACCAACATATACCTACCATTGCTAGTGCTTACACAAGCACTATTCTGTGTAGTCATAGTGGTAACTACTTTCTAAAAATAAGATTCTTTAGTATTCCAATGACCACATGCCTCCTGAGAACATTGTAAAACAGAAAATGGTACATAAACTAAAGTAGCTGCGACCAGTCCAGATGTCCATATTAATCGTTGGACTGGCCAATTTAGTCGTGAATAATAGTTGTAATCATAACTTTCTAGTGGTATGTGTCCAGTATCCTTTGTGTATAATATGAAATACTTTCACGATAATAGGCTAATAGTTTTTTAACGTGAAATATTTTCCTGGTAAACAGCACTTTCTTTCTTCTTGCCAACAAAGTTAGAAATTCAGAAAATGGCATTTCTTGTTTTGATCATGTTAGGAGAAAACCGTTACTAATCAATATTACCAAAAGGCGTAGATGCATTAACCTACGTAGATGTAG